GGATGATCAGTAACAACACCTATACACCTGACCTCTCCCAGCAGGGCTCCCGTGACATTTAGGTGCCACCTAAATATAATGAACATCTGCCAGCTGAGAAAAAGAAATAACACCATGTATGTTTTTCAAGGAATCTGTTGGTTGCTGCTGTGGTTGATAATAATGTGACAGAAAAGGAGAACAGACACCCCACCCACTTTTGTGCAGCTCTAACTTCAAAGAGAAATGCCTATCATCCATGCTCAACCCTGTGTTCTGTATTTTTAGGTGCTTATGTCACATTGCCACCTACAAGAGAAGTCCATAATAACTAAAGCGTAATTGGCAGATCCAGGCATTGCTTGCTGTCCCACATTTTCATGGGTCTGGAAAACATCTGTCACCCTTGCAGTCAAAATCATCAGGAAGTCTGTACATCTGTAAGAGAAAGAATAGTCATCACCTCATAGCAGAATTCCAGGTTTATGGAGTGACAGGGTAACTCGGGTGGGAGCAGACCTCGGAGGTCTCCAGTCCAACGTCCTGCTCAAGGCAGGGTCAGCTCTGAGATCAGACCAGGCTGCCCGGGGCTTGTCTGGTCGGCCCTTGAAAACCTTCAAGGATGGAGATTGCGCAACCTGGGCTCACGTTACATCCCGTGGTGTGGATGCCTCCTTAACTGTTGAAAAGGTGTGTTAAATGCAGGTAAGAAATTTGGATCCCTTATTCAGAGCATGGAAAAGAAGGTCCAGTCATCTGCTTCTGTAGTATATTTCCTTTCGTCCATTTATGGAGATAAAATGAGATTGATTTGGAAGCAGTTTAGGGACAGGGAATTCACATGTCTTTCCAGGTCATCAAATATTATTGAATTTATTATACTTCAAGATAGAGTCATGATCTGACCAGAAGACTGGAGGCCAGGGAAGTTTTGAACCGTAATATAAAATGAAATCCTCTTGGCTTGAGGTAAGTCACTTAGTCTGTTCACTGGAACATGGGGAGAAAAATATTTACCACTTGGTGATAGTGTGAGGATTCATGTTTGCTGGGTGCTGTGAAAATATTATTCACAGAAAGCTTCTTGTCTGCAAGGAAAATTGTGTGCACAAAGAGCCTCTGGATCCTGTCCTTTGGCGAGAACCTCTTGTTAGCTCTTTTCTTCTGTTATTATTTATGCTTAAAATAATCAAATGACTCAAGATAGGAAAACGCTTGCCTTCTTTCTCCCTCCCTATCTCTTCCAACAGACAAGTAAGTGTAGAGACCCGCAGAGCGATGGACTATGAGAAGAGGAGGAGATCTTAAACTGAAGAAGGGTTAAGCTGCACACAAGAGCATGGTGACCCATAACTCGGTACAACGTGGGGTCTGTGAAAGCCAGAGGAGGACGCTGGGCAGCTGGATAAAAGGCTGCTCAGCACTCAAGACTGCAATTATGGAAAGGTTAATGTATTCAAGCGGAGTGAGGGACATTTATTTGCGAAATTGCCTGTTGAAAGCTTTGCCTTCCCGGCGGGGCAGGGTCACCCAGGTAGGCCCCTCGGCGCTCCAGGGGCCGGGCAGCGGGACGCGGGGTGTCTGGTTACCCGGCACTGCGTTCCCACCATTCATGAATATGCTTATCTCCACAGTTCTGTAACATGTAGACTTTCAAGTGGCTGAGTCCCAAAGCTTATCAGACACATCAGCTAGGACCTAAAATCTTGAAAGCAAATTTTGCTTAGCTGAAAAGGGAGCTTTAATGTCAACGTGCAGTGAATTATCTCCCTTCCTTTCATTCGCCTGAAATAAAGACTGTATTTCAGGCAAGGTGATGCTGAATTTGGACAAAAGAGCAGTAGGAGGAAAGCTATACTGAAAGTCTGGACATCTTTGAAATTATTAATGCTCTTCTCAGATTAAGTGGAGAAAAATTGCTTCAAGATGCTTAGAAAATATCTCGAGAAAATATTAAACACTCCATTCTGCTGCATATCCTTTTTAGAGTCCTTCTAACCGGTTTCAAGACACAAGTCTAAAAATCGGGAAGACTTTCCAGAGAGCCTGTGGGGTGACATAGGGCATGGCAACAGCCAGCAACGGGGCTATGGACGGGGTGATGCTCAGGACATGTAGTAAGCCAACAGGAGCTAGATGGTGGCACACCACAGAGCTCCTTACACAGTCTCTGAACATTTCCCTTCTTGTCCTTGAAGGAGAATTAAATAAAATATATTTGTTGCATATCTTGCACGGAGATCAGCACCCCCACTGAAAGTTATTTATTCGGTGCTGGTATTGGACACGACCCTTCATTTCCAGACCGCACCGCACCAGTATGTTACAAACAGCCTGAGGAGGACAGAGTCACACTGCAAAATGACACCAGTGGGACTGATCGGGGTATTGATAACTCGGTGTGGCTGTTCATACCTCTCGCGGGTGCTCGCTCAAAGTTCAAGGGCTGTCCCATAAATGCAGGGCTCTGTGATTCACGGCTGGGATAGCAGGGCTCATCTGCCAGAAGTCAGGGAAGGGGCATTTCCATTGACTGTGCACCTCCCAGGAAGGTTAAAAAGCATTTCTACCCTCCTGAGGGGGAAATAAGTCCAGGGAAGCAGCAGGGTTAGCACAGAGGCCGCAGGGGTCCCTCGGGTGCAGAGGGAGGAGGGAAGGGCTGCTCACAGAGCACAGCCCCGGCCCCAGTGCCGGGGCACAGCCGAGGAGCCTCCTCCCCAGCCTGCTCAACACCTCTGGTGCTGCTCTCCTTCAAACCTGATTTCCCATTGGTGCAAATTAGATAAGAATTGGTTCAGAGTCTTTAATTGTGATTTTTATTTTTAATCTGCATAATTAGGCTTGTAATGGACTATTTTCACAGTCTTGGGGCTGCTCTGAGATCGTTAGTGCTGGGTCCTGTGAGATTACCATCTGCGTGGAGAATGCGAGGGCTGCAGGGCAGCCTTGCGAGCCTCCTGTGGCTCGTTCAAATCACTTGTCACTTGAACCCCGGCTGCTTTCCCCAAGTCACTCAAGAGGGTACAGCCTTGCAAAACATTAGTCATCTGTCCCAACTCGTGTCCTCAAGAGATGCAATTGTTTAGGAGAATGTGGTGCTGAGAGGAGATTAACAGGGTCTGGGTTTTAGAATGACTCATTTTATATTAGCTTTGTCTTTAATGAAGGAAAATTAAAAGAAAGCAAAACACGAGGCAACACAGTAGCACCAGGTTTCTGCTTCCCAGGTTGTGGGGTGGTACTTGGAGGTAAGCAAGCAGTGAGGCAGGAGATGGAGATGAGAAGGTACCTGGATGTCCTGGGGTATGGTCTGGAGAGCTCTCCCAAAGGAAGGTGGTGGTTTTGGAAAGGGCTGAGGCTGACAGGGTGGTTGGAAGGCAAGCAGGAGAGTTGAGCCTTGCTGAAAATCTCACTACCCTGAAATCTGCCTCCTCACTTCCCTCATCCTTATGACTTCCCTCCTTCATTTCCATACCCAGCACCCTCCTGATCCTTCCCAAGCCTGTTTCCTCAGCCGTGGATGGCCCCAAGACATCCTTCCCATCCCTTACTCTGTCTACTTTGGACTTGCTGCTGCTATGAAGCTTTATTTTGCAGCTGCAAGGAGAAGAACAAAATAAATCTTCATTCTGGGGGTGGCAAAATTCACTGTAGCCCGCATGCTGAAAAGCCTTGGGCTTGGCTCTGCTGCCACATCTTGTTCTACTTAAACTGCTGCTTTTAATAGATCCAAAATGTTTGCTTTGCCAAAGATGTTTCCTTCTCTTCCAGCAGAACCATGTGCACTGGTTTGTTCATGTAAGACACAGCCTGGCTGCAGGAGCTGCTGCCAGGGCTGTGTTGTGTTAGCTCACGTGGCACCAGCAACGCGAAGACAGGAGGACCACCCAACTGGAAAATCTTCTGTTTGACTTCAGTTTCGGTGGAAGCTAGATTGTAGATTGTTTAAAGGGGATTTGAGGTGTCTCATGAAAGCACATTTCAGATGGCAGATGCCAGCTCCCACCTTTAATTAACTTCCTGAAAATAGGACTTGCTGGTAGCAGATTTTGGGGGATTGCATTCAGAAAATTGGTAGCCTTCTACATTGAAGCTGGACAGCAGGTTTTAGCAAAGCAGTTCTCCTTTATATCTTTATCTCTTTCCCATTTCAGGTCCTCCATGGCCAATGTAATTTCTTTCTCATCAAGTACCTTTTGGCAGAGATTTCAAATGTTGGTAAGAATGAATACCTGAATGATGTAGCTGAATGTAAGGTATGGATCTCAACCCCCCACCAAAACTTTTGGCTTGGTAATGCTGTCTGGTTGCCTGCAAAGATCCTGCTTTGAATTTGGGCTGTGAATATCACTGTAAGATCTGAATGGTGGTATACAAAAAAGATGAAATTTTCACTCCAGTAGTGATTTGCAGGACCACTACTTCTCCCCTCTCACCAGCTCAAATACAGTTTGATGTTGAACAAGGTTGAGGACAAGCCAAGACCCACATGAGAACATTCCTCCTGCAGTCCTGGGCAGTACCCTGGGTGTACAGTGGCAGAGGGTGGGGAGCAGCAGAGAGAAGTAGCTGCACAGGAGTTTCCGTGTTCATTACATGTGCTAGGGAGCAGGCAACACAAAGGACTGTGTTTCTGTTACATTGCACCTTGCCACGCAGGCTCCAGGGGAGAACCCCAACCTGCCCGACGGTGGGTGGCAGGACCCTCCGAGGTCAGGCAGCCACTGCTGGTGTGAGCAGCCCCATGTTTTCCTCTTACCAGCAACTCAGCATGGTCATTGTGTCTTGAAACCCAACCCACAGCAAGCTCATGTGTCTCTCTGGAGGGATCTGAGCCCCTTCTGAGAACACATGGTCTTGCCAGTGCTTGAAGTTCAACCACCTCCACTTCCAGGCACGCCAGGGCTCAAAGTGATCAACAAATCACAGAAATGCACTTTCCACTACAGCACTGATTGCACAAAAGCATTACTGCTCTCCTGGGATCTCTGTAGAGGGCTTCCTCATTCAAATGTCCCTCTTCAGCAGCAGTTCTTGGTCACCTGCCCCACATTGGGCTGGGAGGCCGGGCTGAACTGGAGCAGTTGGGCAATGAGGGTTTGGCAGGGCTCTGGCAGCGGGGGGGCAGTTCCACCGGGTACAGAACCCCTTTCTGCTGCTGCTGGGGCATGCTGTGGATGTGGGTATCGTCAAAGGGTAAGTAGCCGGCCACCATCACATGGAGCACCACGTGACGTACTTCTTGATGTCGTAGGGGATGCCCATCAGGACCTCCAGGGAAGTGTAGGCTGCCGATCTGCAGAATGTGGTGCTCAAGTCCGGTGGTGTTGGCCTCCTTGGTAAAACCAAAGTCACTAAGTTTGGCCTGGCGGCCATCAGCAGTGAGCAGCACGTTCTCACACTTGAGATTCCAGTACACCAAGTTGCAGTTGTGCAGGTAGCACATGACCCCCACGACTTGCAGAAAGATGTCCTGGGCCTTAGGGACACCAGACAGCTTCCCTAGCTGCTGTACCAGCAGCAGCAGGTCAGTAGCTGCTGCCTCCATCACGATGTAGAGCTTCCCACTGCAGACCTTGATGAGCTCAAAGATACATGTGATGTTGGGGTGCCAGACATTGTGCATGATGGAAAGCTCCCAGGGCAGAAACCTGCACACGAAAGGTACAAGTTTCTGCTTCTGTGGGTGCTTGTTGCTGCTCCACCACCTTGATGACTAGGGAGCCCTTGTATTTGTTGGAGGTGGCCGTTTTCACCTTGGAGAAGCTGCCCTCCCCTAATGTGTGACCCAGTCTGTAGCCCAGCTCACAAAGTAGCTTCTTTCCTGCATTGTTTTTTGGCATGATGTGTGATTACAGAATCACAGAATGGTTTGGGTTGGAAGGGACCTTAAAGATCACCTAGTCCCAACCCCCTGCCCCGGGCAGGGCCCCCTTCCCCCAGCCCAGGGTGCTCCCAGCCCCGTCCAACCTGGCCTTGAACCCTTCCAGGGAGGGGGCAGCCACAGCTGCTCTGGGCACCCTGGGCCAGCGCCTCACCCCCCGCACAGGGAAGAGTTTCTTCCTTATAGCTCATCTAAATCTCCCCTCTGACAGTTTAAAACCATTATCCCTTGTCCTGTCCCCACACCCCCTGATCTAGAGTCCCTCCCCACCTTTCCTGTCCCCCCTTTAAGCCCTGGGAGGCCGCTCGAAGGTCCCCCCGGAGCCTTCTCTTCTCCAGGCTGAACCCCCCCAACTCTCAGCCTGGCCTCCCAGGGGTGCTGCTCTGGCCCCCTGAGCATCTTCATGGCCTCCTCTGGACCCACTCAAGCAGGTCCATGTCCTCCTGTTGGGGGCCCCCGAGCTGGACACAGTATTCCAGGTGGTCTTAATTGAAGCTGGTGTTTTGCTCCAAGTTTTGAAAGCTTTAATATTCAGTGCATGGCAGCTGTTGACCTTCGTTCTCCCCCATGGTCCCACGGGTGCCTCTGTGGACTCCAAGGCTCACCCAGGTATTGTGATAGGATGGAGTGTTGTGTGGCAGCGCCTTTGTGAGATGACAGGGATGTCTGGTGGGTCCCCTCTGCTCATGGGTGTCCCAGGCACACCCACACACATGCCGTGGGAGAACTCCTACAGTTTAGAGTTTTTACCTTCTCTGTCCCTTCACTTGGGTTTTCAAAATAGGGCTCTTTGGATGATGAAAGTTCAAATGTCAGCTTTCTGGGATGAGGAATCCCTTTGGGGACCTAAAATCAGAACTGCACAGAGTGGTATAAATGAGTGATTTCTACTGTCCCCAAGTGCAAACCACCTTGGCTGGCTGTAAATATTTACTTTTTTTGTTATGATGGTTCAGGGAGCTATTTTACTAGGTAGACTTTCTGACTGTGTGGTGTGGACAGGGAACTTTAAATGCATCTTTCAGAAGAAATAGCTTTTCCATTTCTTGAACTTGGAATTGCTCTCCCTTTATTTTTATCTAATTGATATTTTGGAGACTTAGAGAAGGAGTGAGACCAGAGGTCCTTTGGAGAGCTTCTGTAATTTAGATTTTAAATGCTTTTAGTCAGTTTTAGTTGCCATAAGGTGACAGCTGAATTAAGCACAGGGCAGGAACAGATGGCAGCCCGGCTTGGTCGCAACATCCACTCGGGAGCAAAGCGTCCCTCCCATTGCAGTGTCCGCTCCTTCCTCTCGGTGCTGCATCCTTGGCTCTCACAGTTGTTTCTGGTTTGTGCTGTTTTTTTTTTTAAGCTGCTTAAGGATCCCGTCCTCCCTGTGGAACCCACATTTCCTTTCCAGCTGTACAAAGGAGCCTAGGACCACAAAACGTCTGTCTTCCTGAATACCAACCCAAATGCTATTTTTAATTTTTGAATATATGTTTCATTCTGCAAATCAGTTCTAATGAGGAATAAGACTTGACCAAAGATAGAAGAAAATCCTTCTCATGAGTCCATCTTGTCAGTGTTCTGAAGTCACTCGAGGAAATTAAGTTAATTAAAAACTGCAATCAAAGGTCTATATGTGCTGTGGGGGTGCTTTGCCCTGACTCCTAAGGGCAAGTAATGTAATTGCCATGTCAAGTTTTATCTCCTGTAGAAGTCATGAGTCAGAACCAAACCACTTCCCTACTTCAGATGCTATTTCTACAGGCCAGTGGGGAGTATGGGAATTCAATGTGCCATGGAAGTGCAGTTGCCAGGCATGTATTGTCAGGCATGCTGTGTCAAAAGGCCAGGCAAGCGGCATGTACGTTGCATGATGAAGGATTTTCTCCTGCACAGGGGCTACCCCACCTGGAAACTTTCACGGTCAGGTAGGATGAGGTGCTGAGCAACCTGATCTAGTTGAAGATGTCCCTGCTCATTGTAGGGTGGGGTTGGACTACCAACCAGGTTTGGGTTTGGGGTTTGGGTTCTAACCGAAACCAGTCTATGATTCTATGCTGGCCACTAAGGAATGTCCTTACTCCATCCTTATCTCCTCTGAAGAGAGTGGAGGCCCCATTTGATGGCAAAGACTTTGCCTGGGACCGATGTCTGCATGGAGGTGGAACGGAGGGAACCCCACACTCACACAGAGGTGCAGGATGTGACCCAGCCAATGCTGGGCCATTTGGGCCATCAAATTAACGCCCCAAGATTTCTTGTGAAGCAGATCAGAAAGAAGCCATTTCCAGAAGTTCCCATTCAGAAACTTCTGGTTTTTTAAACACAAAAAAATCCTGCCTAGCAATCAGTAGGCCAGATGCAGAAAGCCATTCTGCTGGATACACATGATTTCCTGGCACTTCTGTTTAGCTCGTGAGTCATAACCACAGTGACTTCAGCAGAGGTCTGAGCTGGACTTTTCCCAGGAGCTGGGAACTTTGAGGTGGCTAAACGTAACTGAACCAACGTGGCCATTTTTACAAAGGAAAATGCTTAGGCCAGGCGTATTTTCCCCAATTACTACCGGAGCACCTCTGGAAAATGCTGTCGTTGCACACTGAGAGATAGAAAGATGTGTGTGTAGCTATCTATAGGGGCTTGGCTGATGCTCAGCATATCTTTTAAAACAGGAACAGGATTTCACATTGCAGACATGTTCCCAAAGCCTACAGGTAAAATCCTCATTCATGGGGAACCCCTTTGAAGCCCCCTATAATAACATAACCAGAAGAGGTGTTGTCCAAACCACAGTAGAAAAAATGAAGTGGCAGCTATGAACTATGTTGCAATGGTAAGGAGTAGTGTTCTGGGGTCCCGCATTGCTGGTAACTCTCCATCTGCTCGAGGGAGCTTGTTGCTTTTGGGAAGTTTTCAGCAAGCTTGGCTGAGGTGGACAGCTTCAGGCTCAGTAAGCCCTCCTTGAAGCCCAGAAAAAGCACTGGACAGCTAGATGCTGCAGGAGCATCCCGAGGGCTGAAGGGCTTGAGCAGCACCTGGAAGGAGACAGGGAAGAAAGCCCTGCTGAGAACTGGGACGGAGCAGCTATCGTAGCAAACACTCCCCCTCCTGCACGCTCCAGGCTAAACCTCTGCAGGCTGGCTTTGCTGCCAGGGCTGCAGACATCATGGCTGTGCATCTCCATGCTCCTGACCCAACAGCTCGCAGCATGGCCTCGGACTGCTGCAAAAAGCTCCAAAGACAGACAGCAAGAGGCATGAATGAGAGGTTTCGGTTTGGCAGGACACTGTCAGGCAGAGGAGAAGGAAAGATATCTGAGCTCAGCTTTTTGAGCTGTGCTTAGATCTCAGAGAAAAAGATTTTTGCCTTGTTAGCTGCTGGCTCAACATTTATTGGTATAAAAATACACCAAAAAATCTCTTTTGCTTTCAATCCCTCCGCCTCAAGTACTGCTACCTGTGGTATAAATATTTAGGTCACACCAATATATTTTAGTAGGGTTCTCGGTACCAACATATAAAAGGAAGCCGAGCTTCTCAGCTTTCTGGTATATTTTTTGCATCAAAGCTGTTTGCAGAACTGACTTGTTCCACTGCTCTTGTAAACGAGAGTAATTAGAAATCAGGCAGCAATTAATGGTTTGTTAAATCTGGTGGGTGAGCAGGAGGAGCTGGTCTGCAGAGGTATAAATTATTGGAGCTCACCATCAAGGTTTGTATTATGGAGATGTTTTCTGACTCCAGCAGCGTGGTCGCGCATCAGCCTGATGCACAGCTGGCTTCTCTGCCAAAGGGCTAAACAACTCCCGAAGGACCATTCACCCTGCTGCGCCCTGCAGGGACACCCGAGAGCTACCAGGCACCTCAGAAGCAGCTCACTTTTTTCAAACTCTGCCTAAGCTAATGCACCTCCCTGGGTTAGGTCCACCCAGGGTGAGTCCTGCAACACCCAGGGCTGGACTGCTCACCAGAGGCCAACCCGTGCTGGGCATCACTTCACACCAAAACCAGGAACTCTGAGTTGACCTTGTCTGGGTCCTGGGCACATTACAGTTACACAGTATGGTGTTCTCTGGGGGTAAGCCAACCTTGCTCAGAAGCTAAGGCAGCTGAAGGTCTCCAAACTTCTCCACTGTATACAGCTACCTTCAACCAGAGAGGAACAAACAAGCCATGAGATGTAACAGAGGAGGATGGATTTTTTTTTTTTTTTCTTTCTGCATCATCCCATAGATTTTTTTCACTTGCAGGAAAACCCTGGCTGTGCCAGGCAGCTGATAGCTGGGAAATCACCGGCCTGCTATCTGAACATAGGGGTGAATCAAACATGTCTGTGCGGTGCCTTTTTGGCTGGCTGCCCTCTTGCCGAACCTCAGCGAGGCAGTGCCACAGCAGTGTCATTACTGGACTGAGATACCAGCTGTCATGCAGTATGGTAAACACCTGAGCTAACAAGAGGGCCATTAGAGCATGTATGCTTCAGAAACCTCTCCCTCTCCCCTGCGACCCCATCGTCCCCGAAGTCCCGTGACCGACCCATCAGGGCAGGGCTGCGGGGAGTCCCGCCGGCGCGAGGGCAGGAGGGGCAGGGTGGCCACACGGGCTTAGAGCGCCTGACATTGATCTGATGCCAGACTGACACCTCTGGGGCAGGGATTTTGCATGTGAGTGAATGCTGTTGAGCGTAATGTGGGTCCTGCCAGCACATGCGTACCAAAATATGACTCCTGTTAATGCAGATGTCCTGGAAGCCAAAACAAACCATAGTTTTATACGTTATGCCAAGAGGTTGTAAGTTACAACGTGTAGAACAACCTCTGTACTTGCACGGAGCCCTTGAGATTTCTTTAAATACCTCTATTTCCATACAAGCAGAAATATTTTGCCCAGGGGTTGCAAATTTCAAGACCAGTCAAGTAATCCCTGCCCCATTTTGTGGCCAGTCTATGGCCAGGCCTTATTGCTTAGC